TAGTCCATTAGCATCATTGTGGTGCATGTGGAAGCATGCACCCATGGTGTTGGAGAAGTAGTTGAGCGCTTCATCCTGAATTGTAGGTAGAGAGGGACTGGGCCTGGCTTGGGTTTTTGAAACTTCAAAGCTCACCCCCAGTGACAGGCTTCTTCCAACAAGGCCACAACTCCTAATCCGTTTATTTTTTCCAGAGCTGTACTCCCTGGTGACTAAGCATTTAAATGTGTGAAACTATGGAGATCACTCTCAAAAACTCACCTTATAATGTATATTAAAGTAGCAGATGTATTAAAAGACTAAATGAGAAATGTAAACAAAAATATTTTAAGAAAAGTAGATATTGTACTGTTTTCTCAGGAGGACTGCTGAATTAGGAGAAAGTGAGATAGGAAAAATTGATATTAGTGAATGTGTAAAATGTAATAAACGTGTCAAAGGACAGCATTACATAAGAGCCAAGTATGTTGTGGAAAATGGAAATGATTTTCCATAACATGTCTGGAGAAACTGAAGTTTATAAAGAGTAACTTGCTTAAACTTGTAAGAACTCAGATTGAAGCAGCATGCACAGGTCTGCACCAGTTCCTCAGTGTATTTATTACGTATGGCTTTCAGTTTAGTGTTGCTATAGGGCTCCTGAGTGTGTAGATGAAAGAGTCTGATTCTTGTGCCTTCTCTTGGGCTCTTTTCCTTTGTTGCTTTGTCTTGTCCAACTTCAGTGTGATAGTTGTATCTTATGTCTTATTGTGTCATGTTTTATTATTGTCTCCTAGCTTGTTCTTTTCTAATGAGAGATAGAAAGGGCAAGTGGATAAGGATCGGAGGAGAGGTGGGGAGGACCTGCAGGGAATGGGGGCAACCTGTAATGAGGATATATTATGTGAGAGAAGAATATATTTTCAGTAAAAGGAAAAACAATAACTTGCATGGACATAAATACAGCATAGGTGTTAAAGTACTGTTTTTTGAAGATAGCTTGTACAATTTATGAAATTGCTTTGGGTGTTGGTTATGCATTGTACTTTTGCAATTATGTTTTATTTTCTAATTAACTGTGTACCATAATTGTGGCTAGGGAAATAGCTCAATTCTTGGTAAATAACTGGAAGAAAGAAGTGATTTGTTTGGGAAATTTTGTTTTTTCTGGTACAGAAATTAATGGGTTTGAACTTTACAGGTGGATGCCTTGCCTTCCATATACATGTATTGTTTTACATACACATGTATTATTATAATGTTGTAGGCTTTTCATCTATAGTTAAAGGGATTGATAATTTCCAATGGCTAATAATTTCCAAAATTTTTATTTCATTATTGATTTATTTTCAGAAAATTGAGTAAACATAATTTAGCTATGCTCTCATCTGTAAATTAAGTCAATTTAGCAGAGTAGTTGAAATACAAAGCAGTATTTGGAGATAGAAAATATCTTTTTATTTATCAGATACATGTATCCTCTGCTTTTATTTTATTCTTAAACTTATTACTATATTATTTGTTAATTTATTAAATATGTGTTGATCTGAAAATAGCTAGGTTTTAGACCAAGTACAAAACAAAAAAAAATACATTATCTGTGGAGTTATGTTGTGTGTTATGGGAAGAAGCAGGAAATAAATATGGTACAAAAAATGTGATTTTATCTGTAAATGAGTTTCATAGAAAAGGTAACAGAAAATTGAGGAAAGATTAAAAAACAAACAAAAACCCCTGACATGGGAGGCTACAGCTAATGCAAACACTCTAAATCGGGAAGGAACGTGTTTGATGTCTTGGGAGAATGAAGCCGATTAGAGACTGGAGCTGAGAAAGGAGAGAGAAGTAACAAATGAAGTCAGACAGGAAGTGTGATAGCTCTTAGGTTAGTTTCCTGTTGGTGTGATACAATACCCTGGTAAAATCAACTTAATGGGGAAAATGTTTACGTGGCTCAGAATTCCAGGTTACAGTGCCTCATTAGGAGAGAAATCAAGGCATCAGTAACTTAAAATTAGACAGTTCTATTGCATTTGCAGTTTAAAACTGAGAAAATGACTTCATTCATGCATGCCAGTGCTTAGCTTGCCCACTCCATTTTATATAATCGAGGATCCCCTGTTTAGGGAATGCTCCCACCCATAATTAAGATGTGTTTCCCCACACTAATTGATCACAGACTTTGTCAGAGGTTAGCCTTAATATAGACAATCCCTTATAAGTGTGCCTGTAGACCTGCTTCCTACTGCTCATGTTGACAGTTAATATTAACCACATGAGACAAGTGTAAGTAAAACCTTGGTAGATCAGTATCAAAGGAAGTTGGTGATTATTCTGAAGTGAAAATATTGTAGATATGAGTAGAAAAGGTGGTAATCATGGAACATGAAGTTAGGAAACATTTGAAATTCACTAGTCTATCTAGAGGGGTATCTTCTTGGCTTGGGGTGATAAGAAAGAATTCCCAAGGGGAAAATTTTTAGTGTTATTTGGTAGACTTTAGAACTCCTTTCACCATAATTAGGAAAAAAACGTTTTTAAGCCAAAGTTATATTTCTACTTAAAGCTATACGTAATCTCATAGAGAACAGTTGCTTCTGTTTAGCCATGCTGATTTGAAAATTGATGCTCTGCGCCAGTAAAAAATGTTAAATTTCTATAATTTGAGGTATTTCCTTCACTCAAAAATATATAATCAGCTCATTATTATAATGTGAATAATTGTCATTTGTCTTTTTTACCATGAAACTAAATTACATTGAACAACCTTATATATCTTATTAACTAAGATTCACCTATATTCCTTTTTTGTTTAAAAGACTCTGCATTTGCTTGTGAATGAAATACAAGGTAATTTCTGTTTTTCAGTGAAGTAGTTAGATCCATTAGGATGGATGGATGGATGGATGGATGGATAGATAGATAGATAGATAGACAGATAGATATTATAGTCATGGTATAATAAAAAATGTGAGGTCCTAGATTATCTTTCTTTGTAAAAATGTCCTACCTCTTTGATAGTTTTTTCCCCAAATTTGACCTCCTCAATTTTATTTTAATATATACTTTCTTCTTTAATTCTTGTAATTACAAGGTTTGAATCAACAACTTGTCTTACTTTATCATATCTTTAGTACTGATGGTAGGTTCATAAGTGAGTTGAGAACATATTTCCTCGTATAGGATAGAGTTCTAAGTAATGAATTGCTTGTTCAGTGTCACTAAGATAGTTAAAGATAGTTTCTTGTGTTTCTAGGATGTTTTATTGCAGACTTCACTGTTCCTGTGGGGTAGAATTTTTAAGTTTAATTCTAATTATCTTGAAGATTAAGGCAGTAACACTTTCATGCATAAAATATTTTATATTATCAACTCTGATTTTTAAAAAAGTTTTGACTAAAAATTTTGATTATTGCTAGTCATTGTGAAATAATAGTTTTGCTATTTTGTCTCCAACAGTTGTGTCTTCATTCCTAAGCAGTGTTAAATATTCTTATAAAATTTGAAATTCTAAGCATTTTGTAGGTTTTGGGTAAGAAGGAATTAAAGTACATCTGGATAACACTGTCGTTATTTGAGTTTCATGTCATTAGTTATTATGGTACAGACAGGTGAATCTGAGATGTCAGTGGTCTGTGGTATTTGAATAATATAGTTTTATTTTGCTTCTAAGGAGAACTGATAACTGGTTTTGTGTTTGCAAAATAAAATTGAGGCCAAGCATTGGATGGTTTATTACCTGGTTATTTATGTGTGTGAGGGACACATGTCAGAGACAAAACCATCATGGCAATTTACTGAGTTTCCTGTAACTGAATTACTGTATAATCTGCTTGAACTTAACTAAGTTAATTCAAAGCTCTCGATGACTTAGAGATGGTTTCAGGTGTTAGATTATTGAATATCATTTGTAAGCTAACAGTAAGTAGGTACTTGTATTCAAATATATGATTTTGTAGTAATGGACCGTATAAGCATCATATAATTTTACTTTGAAATAGTGTTACTTTAAAATCTGTAAAGCATGTAGTTTTGTTATCTTTTCAGCAGGACTCACACAAATGTAGTGTGAGTTAAAAATTGCAGGTGGGAAAAAAACACCAAGATTCTTTACATATATGTGAGATAATTTCGTTCATAAACTATAGGGTATAATTGCTAGGTTCTAATTTGAGTTCAATAGCATACTGTGTGTATCTGTGTATGTATAATATAGTATATGTAACATGTAATGTGGTATATATAAACTATACACACTGTTTTGTAGAAATTTTCTGATTGAGTTCAAGTGAGAAACTTGTAGTGCTAACTAGCCAATATAGCTGGAATTGCTTTGGGAGAAATGAGCCACCTTCTGTTAAAAACATTAATTGGTGAGCATAGATGTATTGAGTACCTTCTCTGTCCCTAAGTTATATATAGGGAGTAAGTAGTAATTGAGTGAAACGAGAACATTTTGTGTTGGAGTCAACACATAAAGCAGAAAACCATTGAACTCAAGATGTCTAAGTGACTTCTATTGTCATGGAAAGATTTGCTTGAAATCATTCTGGGAGACAGAGTAGCTGAGTATTATTAATCTTTGGAGTCCAGATTTAGCTGCTTTTGTAAGGGAACCTTATTTCTTAGCCTTAAAAAATATGGGAGGGTGAGGGTGTGTGTGTATGTATGTATGTATGTATGTATGTATGTATGTATGTATGTATGGAGTGCTTTGTTTTTAGAGAACCTGGCCAAAGAGTAAAAAAGTTTGAGTTTTAATCCTAGCTTCATGCTTATATTGTGACTTTGGATACATCATTTAACTTGATTTGGTTATTTATAAGATGAATAATGAGGACACTTATTTTAAGGAACTAAATTATTTTTATTGTTTACTTTGAACACTTCAAAGTAGGAGCCATATAGAAAGATTTTTTTAAAAAAACCAAAATGTGATAAATGAAACGAATTCTAGAAATCTGAATTAAGAAACCTAGTTTGTTTCTGGAGTACATTTATATTCCCCATTTTCTTGGTAGCGGATACTCTGTTTTCAAGGAAGCTGAATGGGAAATACAGACTTGAGCGACTTGTTCCAACTGCAGTATATCAGCATATGAAGATGCATAAACGAATTCTTGGACACTTATCATCGGTGTACTGTGTAACTTTTGATCGAACTGGCAGGCGGATATTTACTGTAAGTCATTTTTAAAGTCTTATATTTGCTGGTAGATAGAATTGAAGTTTTTTTTTTTTAAGTGGGAAACTGGAAATTTGGGTACTTTTAAAAAAGCATGTTCTAACAAGTTTTTATTTAAATTTGAACTTTTTCCAAGGTCAGAAGTTCCAAAATTTAGACCTTTTAATAGTATAATCACAGCTACATATGTCCTATGTGGTACACTTATGTGTTTCTCAATATTAATCACATAGGATGATGGTAGGGCTTTTATAAAAGGTTATTTCATATTTTTAATTGTAGAACAAGAGCCTGGACAAGTTGTAGAAAAGTATTATATGCAGAGAACCCCATGCTAACCTAAGATAACTCCCTTTAAATGGTGATAGAAATTCTGAGCATACCTGATACTCTTTGCTTAGGATTTGTGGTCCTTAATGCTTGATTCTTTAAAATAGCTGTGTTTTAAAAAAGAAGCACGTAGGAAGTCATTTGCTCCTGTTTCTTCTAACCTGCTTCAAGAAAAAGGAGTGGAGTTTTTCAGCTTTCAGTGAGAATAATTATTTTGGAAGCATTTCAACTTTTTTTTTAAGTGTCTGAACTATTATATTCAATAGGGATAATATTTACCTCACTACTATGGTTATACTTATTAAACCTTACTTACCCTGTAGGCTGAAAGAAGCATGCATTCACTAAGTCCTTAATTGCCTTTGAAACAAGGAAGTGGGAGAGAAAACTTCAAATTGAAATTCTCATTTTTGATTTTGGGGAACTGCTGCTAACTTTAAAGATTTATTTATTTTAATTTTTATCCAAATGAGTTTGTGCCAAATGAGTATGTGCACACCTTGTCTGTGGAGTTCAGAAGAGGGCATCAGGTTCTTGGAGATGGAGTGAACAGAGCTTCCATGTAGGTTGTGGGAATCAAGCCTAGGTCTTCTTAAAGCAAGTACTCCTAATTACTGAGTCATCTTTCCAGCTGCTAATTTTAACTAAAGTAACAATGATTATAGATTCTTTTTGTTTTTCTTTGGGTAAATTTGCACATAAATTGAGAGCTACCTACATACTCAGTTATCTATAGAACAACTAAAGAAAGAACGTCTGAAAGAATTTTTTGCATTTTTTTTTATTAATTTTAATCCATTGGGCATTTGCATTGCACTCCCACTATCAATAGTTCCTACTTTGACTTTCTTTCATCTCCATTATTTTTAGGAAACAAAACTAAAATTTCTAAGCTTTCTCATCATAGATTATAAACTCATGCAGAGCAGGTATCTGTGTTGGCTTTCTGCTTGCCATATTCACATTAGTAGTTGACTTAAATTGTAACTGAATATCACCCTAGCCATTAATTTAATAGGTTAATGTTTAGTTTTCAAAACTTAGGTCAAGTCCTGTCTAGCATGTGAAGGAATTCCTTCAAAAGCATTAACAAACTAAAATAGTGAGACATAATTATGTTGGGTTTGTATTTTGGTGACCATAAAAAACGTACACCATTGTCACTTTGATTATTTAAAAAAAGCATGGCTTTTCCATTTTTGATGTTAGTAAAGTACCATATGGGAGTTCTTTCTTTAAGAGAAATATGGATTGTAAATATCAAATTTATATAGGATTATCTGACTTGATAGGAATTTGATACATAATCTTTTGGAATGTTTTGAAGGAAACAACAGTGAAATGTGTTTGTTCCTATTTTCTGAGCTTAATAAAATATTCAGAACAGCATTTGAGAGTACTTGAACCAGGGAATGATCAAATTAACTACTTTTGGCTTAATCTAGCATACCACTTACTGTAAATAGTTTTTTATATATACTGCATGTAGTCACTGTTGGGCTACAAAAGAGCTGTTGTATGATTTATCACAGAATCGTATGACTTGTAGAGTTGAAATTATTTGTTATCTGGCCTTAAAAGAAAATGTATATCTCAGGGTATTTAAGTGAAGATTCCTGGTTGTTTCCTTTACTTGTAGGCATATACAGAAGGGAAGGAAAAGTAACATATTAATAATTATATGATCTTATCTAGACTATAAAAAGACATTTTTAAGAATGTGAAATAATTTGTTAGTTGTGCCAAAGTCAAAGTTTCATTCATATGGTGAATTGTAGTTGCATAATAAAAAATGGTACATTAGAGTAGAAATGCTAATAGAGCCTGGTTTCTGTTTATTAATTTCTATTTTCTATATGTGTGTCTGTGTGTTTGCATTAGTTTATGTGCAGGTGCTTACGGAGGCCACGTGTCAGATATCCTAGAACTATAGTTAGAGGCCTGGCTTGAGCAGCCTCGTATGAGTGGTAGGAACTAACTGGGTTTTCTGCACATTCCCTTAACCTGAACCATTTACTTAGCATTGAGACCTATTTTTTTTTCTTCAGTTTATTTTTGTATTATCATTTCAATGGGTATCAGGGCACATTTCTATCTACTACACGTATTTACCTTGTAAAGTCAAACTGATAATGGGTATTTTCTCATTCTGCTTTCTAGAAGCACAAAACACGCTGAACTGTCTTGTAGTTTACAGTTTGGTCTTGAAAATTGAAGAGGGATTGGTAAAGCTTGTGGCAATAGTTCACAACAAACAGAAGATTCATGTGTCAACATATTGCCATAATTTATTGGGGTAACAATTGGCTAAAGGACTAACCATTGTTTTCTTTTATTACATTTGGTTTTTTTAAGACTTTTCATTTGTAAGTTCTTGGTTCAGGTGTATTTGAAAGCTTTACCAAGGGACTAATTCTCTTGTGTCTTCTGCAAAGGCCAACTACAAACAGGTTTGTAAGAGCTTTGGGTCAGAATGCTCTAGACACAGATTTAGAGAAGAAATGGACAGCCTATCAAGGGGTACAGACAAAAGCCATTAAGCTTTACCCAGTGTTGTTAATTTCTACAAAGAAACTATGTCCTAAACGCTTGTGTGATATTAAGAGTTTGCGCTCAGTGACGAGGCCACTGAGCTATGTTCTAACCTCTAGCTAAACTCTTATTCATAAATGCTTTGAAAAGTTTTAGAGGAAATCCTTGTAATTGGTAAGTGAAATTTCCTTTTAGGAAACTACTGTTATTAGTGCTAGCTTATTTTAATAATTAATACTGTCTTAGACCTTTTTTAAAGGAAGCAGATAGCATAATTTTAAGTTAAATTTTAATTTCTAATTCTCATTTAATCTTGCAATCTTTTTACTTGGTTTCAGAATCACTGCCTGAAATTATGTTTATGAAAGAAAAGGAGAATTGATGAATTCTCAGGACTAAGGCAAAAATACAAAAAAGTTCATTGAGCACATGAAAAACAGAGATCCCAGCTGGGTGTGGTGATGCATGCCCTTAAGTGCAGTATTCTGGAGGAGGCAGAGTCAGGCACATAAAGTGAGGTACATGTAGTATCTCCAGAAAGGTAGAGGGAGAGAAGGGACAGAGATCTCATACTCCTTTCAGAAAGGCAAAATTTATTTCTTTTTCATTGAAATTAAGGCAAAAGAACATAAAATACTGCTTTTACTAGAGGTTACAGTAAGAATATGGGTTGGTGTATTTGCATCCTTTTACCAACCACTATTCTTAACAATTGGAGGTATAAAATTTGAAGACATGTGTTTACAAATAGTAAATAGACAGTAAATAGACCATATGATGTGAACTTTTTGATATAGGCCACCTAAATTATATTTGAATAGGCCCCTGATTCAATCATATCACAGAAAATAGTAGGGAATTTGCTGGAAAAGTAACACCTTAGCTGAATTGACTGGATATTACAGAGTTACAGAAAGGTGTTTGCAAACTTTGAGAAAGTATAATACATAATTGTGTATTATTGCGTATAGCACAGAATCAAATATGTGAACTGGAAATACTGATGGGAACAAAACCACCAAGTTCTTATATGACCTGCTAAAGAGTAAGTCTCTTACCTGAAGGCAAGCTGGAACAAGTGATAAATGTAAAATGTATATTGCATGTTAGTTGACATAGAATTCCTACAGAAACCAGGCTGGTCTGAAATTCACCATCTTTCTGCCTCATATTTAGCCAAAATGCTGAAATTGTGCGTGTATACTACCTTTTATGGATCCAGTTGTGTTGTATGGATTAAAACAACAGTGACATTGATCGTGGTGTAATTGAAAAGGTTCTGGCAGTTAGTTAGCCATGAAACAAAGCAAAGCTTGAACAGTCACAGGGAAATGAAAATAAGATCAGCACATTGACAATAAGATTTTTAAGATTCAAAGACTGATGTGTGTGTGTGTGTGTGTGTGTGTACATGTGTGTGTTTGTACAAGTATGAGAGAATATCTAACTTGTTTCTTAGAAAGTCATTATCTTACTTACTGTGTCAGTCATTTAAGCAGAAATGTCTGCTAAGTTGGACATGCTGCTGTTTTGTCTGAGAAACTTATGTGTGTGGGAAATACACATTCTTAACAACAGTGGGAACAAGAATGAGATCTAGCCTAAAAGATTGAGATGAAAAATCATTTATATGGAAATACCATTTCAGCTGAAGACAGCCTATCTTCAGCTTTTAAAACGGGCAAAAGTAAATGATTCTGGGGATAGTAGGCCAGTAGAGAGAAGCATCTTAGAAGCCAAGAGATGAGTTTTCCCTGAAAGGCAAAAGACTAAAGCAGAGTAACTGAAAGTCCCTTATGAGTTTGCCAAAGCCATTAATTACTGCCTTGATCTAAATGTTTGTGGTCCCCACCCATAGACTCCCTAAAGAGGTCTTTTGGTAATGGTTAGGTCATGACATCAAGAATGGATTGTTTTCCTTATTAAAAGGCACAGGGCAACTTGTTTGCCTCTTGTGTCATATCTGTTAGAAGTTGCTACTTAAGGAAGTAGATACAGATATTTTTTACTAGATACTGAATCTCTTTGTCTCTAGGTCTTAGATTTACCAGCATCCCAAGATTTACCCACCCCAAGGTATTGCTGTAGTAGCTCCAATTTATTAAGACTAGTAACTTTGACAGATGGTAACTCTC